TTTATCATGAGATGATGAATATTTATCAATATCTTTGAATATATCACTTGATTTAGAATAATCACCACGTTGAAATTTATATACTATAGTTAATTCATTAAATGGTGGTTGTGTAATTTTGATCGAAATTGGTTTAAATAAACCTAATGTATTTAATAACCAAATAACAATTAAACAAATTAGAATGATAACGATAATAAGAATTAAAATCAACATCTAAAAAAAGAACACGAGCTAGAAAAATATCTACACTATTTTCATATGAAAACGTTCAGAGTTCTTTCAGATTTTAAATATTAGAATAACACATTGATGAAAGTTTGAAAATAAGTTGGAATATTTCTCTAATAAAACTTTCTTTCTTACTATTGGAGAAAGACTATTGGTTCTTTATTAGTGTGTATTTTCATTTATTTAGTTCTCTAACTATTTGATATCATTGTAGACAGACGACGAGAAAGAAGAAAAGACAGAGGTCAGTTATGTCTGTACAAAATAATTCGATAGATGGTTATATGTTTGAACGGTTTAACAATATGTACAAGTTATAATCAATACGAAGAAATTATTGAGTTTTGAACTTGTTAGTCGAAAGAACACATAGATTCGATGATAATATCTTCGAAATCACTCAATCTGGATTAGATTTAATTCAGAATATCTGAAATCTAATAGTTAGAAGATCTTTCTTAAGATAATTTTAACAGAAACAAGTCGATAAATATTTTGAATATTCATTGTTGAATCCTTTCATTATAATATATGAATTTTATAAATTACTTGCTATTTTGTATGTCCGTGTGACTTGATGAATGATACAGTTTGATCTCAGATGTAGATGAAATAATAAAAGAAATAATTGTTGTCGATTGCCATGTATCCATAATTCATTATTTAGATAAATTTACATTATGTTATGGTTTTATATTATAAACAGTACAAGATCAATGTCTCATTCCTAGGATCCTGCCGGACAATATAGGAAAAACCAATGTTTCGAATTTTCTTAAATCTTATACCAAAGAGTGTTCGTATAGCTTAATTTTGATATTTCTAACAGATATTAGAAAAAAGAACTAGACTACTACTTGAACACAGCGCGATTAGAAAAAACGACAGACTGCATGAGCCTAAGAAATGTCAGAATCCGATTCTACTCGAAATCTGCTAATGTCAGATGTACACTCGTCATATTCTCACGATCTCGGAAAACTTTTTTGCATTTCGAAATGATGATTAGGTGTGGAGAAAGAGTAGCCGACTTGAGTAAGAAGAATTTGTCATGCCAACTAACAAGGGAACATTCCCAGGTGCAGAAGCGCTTTTGAGTCGAGACTTTATGCATCTTATAGTCCTTAGTGAGCTGTGTCTATGATAAAAAAAGTTTGGATTTCTGTCGAGATATTGAGTTTTTAGTGATTTTTTTCTATATCACCTCACTTTTGCAGCAATGCTATATCTTTGAATTTTGATCTGAAACTTTGTCCACATAAAGGCCTCAGCTAGAGTAGCTTGCATAAAAAATTCCAGAAGTTTTGGACAAAGTCTCTCCGAGATACAAAGATTTGAAAAAATGCATACTATATATACTATCTATGAAAAAGTGTCTATACCTTGGTCGTTTCATATTCCGGAGAGACTTTGTTCAAAACTTCTGAAATTTTTTATGCAAGCTAGTCTAGCTGAGACCTTTATGTGGACAAAGTTTCAGGTCAAAATTCAAAGATATAGTATTGCTGCAAACGTGAGGTGATATAGAAAAACATTACTAAAAACTCAATATCTCGACAGAAATCCAAACTTTTCTTATCATAGGCACAGCTCACTAAGGACTATAAGATGTACAAAGTCCCGACTCAAAAGCGCTCCTGCACCTGGAAATGTTCCCTGGTAAGCAAATGAAAAGCAATAAATTGGCTACTACACTTTGTGTAGTCAGTAGAGCCCATCGGGTCCGAGTCCGAATTCAGAAATTCTTGGATCCAGTGGGCTCTAGCAGTCAGTCTCCTTTCATTCAACAGGACAAGCAGGATTTTACGAGACTATTCAAAAAAAAAATTCAAGACACGAAACAGTTTATTCCACAGAACTTTACTCTTCGTAGAACTGCCAATCTCAGATGACTCGAATAGGGTACATAATTATTTCGAAAATCAAGGGTATAAAATCATTCTCTTCTTCGTCTATTTGGTGATCGGACGTGTTTTTTTTTTCTCTCTATACTAGCTACATACATATATATTATATATACGTTCTGATCACGCGTCGAACGCGTGTCAGGTTATTTATTCATAATTTCATCAATTTTTGAAATTATTATTCACAAATATGGTGAAAAATTATCACCACCTGCCTAATAGTATCAACACCAATGAAAATACTCGTTATCACACAAATTCATCTGCAAATATCGTCGATAATTCTCCTGAATATCATTATGATCCACAATCAAATATGCACTTCAACTATCTGAATAATCAACAACAAAATCGTAAAAATCGTGTTCCTCCACCTACTACAACTAATCTTAGAATGTTAGATTCTCCTGCACAGTCTCCTTGTAGACGTATGCGTGAACAAGATGATGATGAATTTATTACTGTTGTACACAATAAAAAACGTAAACAATTAAACAAGGATTTCGATGATCAATTTGAAGATCCACAACAGAAGTACAATAATCCTAATGCACCTATACAACAGCAGACAAGCATTTACAATAATAATCACAACAATGATCCACCACCTCTACTTGCAACACAATCATCATCAAGAACCATTACTTCTCGTACAATTTCAAATTCGAATCTCAATCCAAGTCAACCAAAACAACAACAACAAAATAAAATTACACCCGAATCTGCACGTTTTGCACAAACACGTTTTCCCTATCAACCCTTCATCATTCGTTTTACATCGGGAAACATTAAAGATAAACAAGTGGCACATGAAATCTCAAAACATTTTAAAGATAATTATCATACTGATATATCAATTTTAAATATTCGTCGATCAATAATGAAATGTCAACAAAATGAGTATGAATATTTGATCTATGTCAAAGATTCAATTACATTTTCATTACTATTTCATCAACAAAACTGGCCCCCAACGTATTGGTGGCGAAACTTTTATATTTCCTTCCTCACCATCATTTCCTGCACAGCTTTCATTCATAATAAAGAATGTTGACCTACGTATAAATCTTGATGATTTTGCTGAAGATTTGAAAGCTACCTATCCCGAAATTCATGCTGTAATTAGGTTGAAAAATAAATTTCAAAATAATATTAGATTAATTAAAATTGAAATTCTATCACCAATGATTCGTGAGCAAATATTAAATTCTGGTAACATTCTAGTAAATAGCATTACATATGACGTGGAAGAATATTTATCACCAGCAAATGTGTTGATCTGTTCTAAATGTATGGCCATCGGCCACTTTAAAAAACAGTGTACTCAAATCAATGAAACTTGCAAAGTGTGTGGTTTGTCCTGTCCTGATCTTCGTCATCACAACTGTTCATTGGTTAATAAATGTGTTCACTGTAATGGTGATCACGTTTCAAATTCATTTAAATGTCCTATAGTTAAAAATTTTCGTGCAGAATTAACAAAAAAATTGTTGTTTTCAAATCGTATGTCATTGTCTTATGGTTCAACAAATACTAATATCAATAATACGTATAATTATGATGCAACTGCTTTTCCAGTACTTCCTCGTCCACAACAACCATCACCATATTCGATTACTAATAATTCAATGATAAATAAAATAGATGAATTAATTAGTTCTGTACGTAAAGTAAATGATACATTAGAAAAATTTTCGAAGAAAAACGATGAATTTGAATTATTTATGAACAATAAAATTAAAAATGATGAAATATTATCTACGAAAATTGATCATTTAATAGAAAATGATGTAGAATTTAAGAAAAATATTATTCAACATGAAATTAAAATTACACGACACGAAAATATATTTATAAAATTAATTTTACCAATGATGGATGAAATCAGTAAATATTTATCAATAATTAATATCGACAAGAAAGGTGGTACATTAGATGCTGATTTTCAAGTTACAATAAACAGAATGCGTGTACAATTGGAAAACGTAACTCAAAATAAAAACTTCTAATGTCACTTTCTCCATATGCAGTTCCTTTTTTCGACCCCTGTAGCCCAAAAACGACTTCTTTTGAGAGAGAACTCTTCATTCGTAAAGCACAGATGAACCTATCGTATTTTGATTTTTCTCTTTGGTCTGAAATCTTATTTGAATGGGAAAGTTCCCCTACACTTACTGCTTGTCTAAAAAGTTGGGAGCCATATAGAGTCATTGATACGTCTTCAATTATTAATTCTCTTCATATTCTATCATATAATGTTCGAGGTCTTGATTTGCGTTATCAGGAAGTATTACTTCTATCTAACTCATTTGAATTCGATATTTTGATTTTACTAGAAACAGGCTTTTTTGATTTTTCACACTGCAGACAGGTTTTTTCTAAATATAAAGTCTACTATCAGAGAGGCGAAAATGCGCATGGTGGTGTTGTTATGTTAGTACGAAATGATTTAAAAGCAGAAAGAGTTGTTTGTGATTTACCGAACGTATGTGTAACTGATATTCTAGAAGAAAATGATAAAATCAGAATTGTAGGAGTTTATGCACCGGAGAGCAAAACATGGAAGTGGGAGGACCTATCACCTCTAGTTTTGAGTAAATGTGTTTTTTATGGTGATTTTAACGTAGATGTAGAAGAGGATCTGCTTAAGGCTGAGTTACTACTTTCATGGGCAGATTCTCACTTTCTTTCACCGTATATTCCTGATTCCATCACCTCTTTAAGATCGAACCGTACAATTGACTATGCTTTTTCATGCGGCTTCTCTGTTTCTATCCAAACGTATGAAGGTGTAGTTTCTAGTGATCATAAACCTCTTCTTTCTGTTATACCAATAAAATCTAAAGAAAGTGTTCTTGCACGTAATATTCATTGGAAAGTTTTTTCGTTGTTCAGTGAGTATGTTTATCCATTTTGGGAAAAAAATTGGTGCTTAAATAGCGTAAATAATGTCTACAACGATTATGTATCTTTTCTCTCTCTTCTTATCTCACGTTGCACTATATTCTTCCCAATTAACAAATATCGTATTGCTATTCCACAAGCTCTACGAGCTTATATGTCCCACACACGTGCGTTAGCATATAGGCAAAAAAGAACAGGCAATGAAGTAGTAAAGATCATAGTTAAACTTAGAAGAAAAATGGCTAAAAAAGAACTTAAAGTCTTTTTACTTAATCAACTATCTTCTTCTTTATCAGCACGTAATACCTCTTCACATCTTTCTGTTTCTTTTTGGTCTCGTACAAAGAAGTTCATGAAATCTTCATCTTCTTCTCTACATGGTTTTATTCTTCCCAACGGTGAGATAGTAAAAGAAGCTGAGAAAATGTGCGAATTGAGTGCGGATCATTTTGAGAACTTGTTTAAAGAGTCCGAAAATATTTATAGACCGCATCCATACACCGATGCACCTGAAATACGACGGGAGAATTATGAAGAAGAAATTCCACCAGTCATAATTGAAGAAGTGCTGGAGGTAGTTATGGGACGCAAAAAGAAAAAATCCTGTGACGCGCATGGTCTTTCTAACTTTATGTTCAACTTTTTACCAATTGATTATTGGTCTCTACTACTTAGAATCTTTAATTTATCTTTCGTTAGTAATGTTGTACCTGATCTATGGAATGAAACCAGAATTCTGCTTTTAGCTAAAAAAGAATCCATTTGTGAAGTTTCTGCCACCCGTCCTATTTCTCTGCTCGATGTGTTCTTAAAAGTGAATGAAAAATTGTTTTTAACTCGTTTCTCTAATGTGTTAGAACGTAGAGGTCTACTACCAGATACACAATCTGGGTTTCGGGCCAAGTTTCGGCTCCAAACACGAGTGCTACTATTTCTTGAACAAGTTTCAAGTCTCATGGCTAATAGTTCGCCAGTGGCGACGGTCTTTATAGATTTCAAAGCTGCTTTTGACCAACTTTGGTTCGATGGGTGCATCGGAAAATTACAGAGAATGGGACTTCCAAGGGCGTATCTTATGTGGATAAATACTTGGTTAAGAGGAAGACGAGCGTATATTGAAATAGGTGGCAAAAAATCAAGGTGGTTTAATATATCGAGAGGGTGTCCTCAAGGATCTATACTTTCACCTACGTTATTTATTAGTTATCACGCCGATATGGGCGATTTTCTTTCTTTTTGTCTTAGTTACTCTTTCGCTGATGATCTAGCAGCAGTTTTAGCGGGCAGTATTGGCATGAAGTATTCAAATCAATGTTTAGACCTTGAACGTAAACTACAATTATTCTTTGAACACCTTGAGTTTTATTCAGTGCTAACATTGCAACCCATAAACTATATAAAAACTGAAGCACTTTGGTCGGCTAGGGCCATAGGTAGCCCAAAATTTGATATTTCCTATGAGGGAAACAAAATACCATGGGTAAAGGAGTTTAAATATCTTCGTTACTTGATTACACCAAAACTTGGTTTTGGTACCTTAATTAGAAAAAGTATGATGAAAATTAGACAACGTATCAGTATGATAAATTCTTTTC